GTCCAAGGGCCAGTGCTCTAACCACTGAGCAAAACTGGCCAGGGATTGAACCTGCAACCTAGTATGTGCCCTTTCTGGGAATTGAATCCCCCACTTTTGGGTGTATGGGATGATGCTCCAACCAACTGAGCCACCTGGCCAGGGCTGCCCATTTTTTTAACTGGATTTTTTTGCTACTGAGTCATATTAGTTCTTTATATAGTTTGGTTTTTAACCTCTTTTCAGATATATGATTTACAAATGTTTCTCCCATTCCATAGATTGCCTTTTCATTTTGTTGATCATTTTCTTTGCTGAACACAAACATTATTTTGATATATTGTTTATATTGTGTTTGTTGCCTTTGCTATGGTGTAACATCCATAAATCATTGTTATGACCAACATCACAGAGCTTAACACCATGTTTTCTACTAGGAGTTTAATGGTTTCAGGTCTTACGTGCAAATCTTTAATCTATTTTGAGTTGATTTTTGTGTATAATTTAAGTTATTGGTCCAGTTTCATTTTCTTGCATGTAGCTTTCCAGCTTTCCAAACAACATTTTATTTCACCATTGTATGTTCTTTTCTCCTTTATCATAAGTTAATTGGCCATATGTGTGGATTTATTTATTTTTTATTGTTGACACTATTACAGATGTCCCCCATTTCTCCCCCTTTCCCTCCTCTACCCAGCCTCTGTTTCCCACCCCCCCAGGCCTTCACCACATTATTGTCTGGGTTCATGAGCTATGCACTTATGCATATATGTTTCTCAGTTAATCCCTTCCTGTCCTCCCTCCCTCCCTCCCTCCTTTCTGAGATCTGTCAGTCTGTATGTATCCATATCTCTGGTCCTATTTTGTTTGTCAGTTTATTTTGTTCATTAGATATCACATAAGTGAGCATGTGATATTTGTCTTTTTTCTGACTGGCTTTATTTCGCTTAGGACAGTAATTGCCACGTCCATCCATGCTGTTGCAAAGGGTAAGAGTTTTTTTTTTTTTTTTTTTTTTTTACAGCTGCATAGTATTCTGTTGTGTAAATGTACTACATCTTTTCTATCCACTCATTTGCTGGTGGGCTCTTGGATTGTTTCCAGATCTTAACTATAGTAAATAATGCTAGAATGAACATAGGGGTGCATATATTCTTTCTGATTGGTGTTTCAGTATTCCCAGAATTGGGATCTTGGGTCAAATAACAGTTCTGTGTGAATTTATTTTTTACTATTCTGTTCCATTGATTTATGTATCTGTTTTTCTAGCAGTACCATACTACCATACTCTTTTGATTACTGTAGCTTTGTACTATAGTTTCAAACCAGGAAGTTTGATTCCTTTGCCTTTGTTTGTCTTTCTCAAGGTACTTGGGCTACTTGGGGTGTTTTGTGATTCCATAGAAATATCAGGATTGTTTTGTTTCTGTGAAAAAGGACATTGTAATGTTTGAAGGGATTGAATTGAATTTGTAGGTTACTTTGGACATTTTAACAATATTAAGTCTTTTAATCCATGAGTACAAAATGTTTTTCTATTTATTTGTGTTGGCTTTAATTTTTTTTTTTTTTTTTTTTAATCAATCAATGTATTATAGTTTTCAGTGTACAGGTCTTTTTCTATCTTGGTTAGATTTATTCCTAGGTATTTTTTTCTTTTTGATACAATTGTAAATGGGATTGTTTTCTTAATTTCTCTTTCTTATACTTTGCTATTACTGTAGCAGGGATGGGGAACCATTTTTCTGCAAGGGTCATTTGGATGTTTATAACATCATTTGCAGGCCATACAAAATCATCGACTTAAACATTAGCCTGCTATATTTCGTCAGGCTAACTTGGTGAGGCATGTGATGTTAACTGGTATTGATTTTGTGGTCCTTATCCAGCCCAAGGACTGGACATTCCCTACCCCTGCTGTATAGAAATACAACTTTTTTTTTTAATTCATTGATTGATTTGAGAGAGAGACATTAATTTGTTTGTTTACTGTACTTATTTATGCATTCATTGGTTGCTTCTTCTGTGTGCCTGGATGGAGACTGAACCTATAACCTTGGCATATTGAGACAGTGCTCTATCCAATTGAGCTAGCTGGCCAGGGCTAGAGATGCAACTACTTTATTTTTTATTATTAAATTAAAAAAATTGATTTTAGAGAGAGAGAAGGAGAAGGAGAGTGAGATAGAAACAACAGTGTGAGAGAGAAACATTAATTGGTTGCCTCCCATAAACATCCCAACCAGATACTGAACCTAAAACCTGGGCATGTGCCCTGACCAGAAATTGAACTGGCCACCTATTAGTGACCAGGGTGACACTCAACCAATACAGCCACATTGGCCAGAGCTGATTTTTTGTTTCTTTTTGTTAATCTTCACCTGAGGATATTTTTTTCAATGATTTTTAGAGAGTGGAAGGGAGGGAGGGAGGGAGGGAGGGGGAGAGAAACAGTGAAGGAGGAAGGGAGAGAGAATGAGAGAGAGAGAGATATGATGTAGGACATATCATTTGGTTGCCTCCTGAATGTGCTCTGACCTGAGCAGGGATCGAATCCGCAACCCAGCTACGCACTCTTGACCTGGAATCGAACTTGTGATTCTTTGATGCGAGGGCTGATGCTCTGTCCACTGAGCCACACCAGCCAGGGCTGATTTTTGTATATTGATTTTGTATCTTGCAATTTTTCTTAATTTGTTGATTACTTCTAACAGTTTTTTTTTTTTTGGATTATTTAGGGTTTTCTGCATATAAGATATCATCTGCAGGTGATGATAGTTTTATTTTTTTCTTTTTTGATTTGGTTACCTTTATTTTTTTGTCTTGCCTAATTGCTCTAGCTAGGATTTTCAGCGCTATTTTGAATGGGAGGGTGGAGAGTTGGTACCATTGTCTTGGTCCTCAGAAGAAAAGCTTTTACTCTTTCACTGTTGAGTATGATGTTACCTGTGGGTTTGTTGTGTTGGCCTTTATTATGTTCCTTTTATACCCAGTTTTTTGAGGGTTTTGTCATTAAAGGATGTTGAATTTTATCAACTGCTTTTTCTGTATCTTTTGAGTGATCATATCATTTTTGTTGATAATTTTTGCATGTGAATTCATTAAGGATATGGGTCTATAATTCTCTTTTCCTGTAGTGCCCTTACCTGGCTTTGGTATCAGAGTAATGATGGTCTCCTAAAATGAGTTTAGGAGTGTCCCCTTCTTTTCAGTTTTTGGGAAGAATTTGGGAAGAATTGACATTAATCTTTTAAAATTGTTTGGTAGAATCACCAGTGAAATCATCTGTTCCTGGCTTTTCTGTATTGGGAGGGTTTTGAAATCTCCTTATTCATTGGTCTCTTCATGATTCAGGCTTGGTAGTTATTTATCCGTTTCTTCTAGGTAATCCAATTTGTTGGCATATAATAGTTTAGTAGTTTCTTGATTATCCTGTATATTTTTGTGGGATCAGTTTTAATGTTTCCTCTTTGATTTCTGTTTATATTTATTTGAATCTCTTTTTTGTTTATCTAAAAGTTTGTCAGCTTTGTTTGTCTCTTTAAAAAGACAGTTGTTTTAAAAAGACAGTTCTTAGTTTTGTTAATCTTTTCTACTGTTTTTCTTGTCTTCATTTTAATTTTTACTCTGATTTATTTTTTTTGAAGAGTATTTTATTTTATTGATTTTCTTTTGTTTTTTTTTTTTAGAGAAAGGGAGAGGGAAAGAGAGAGAAACATTAATGTGAGAGAGAAACATTGATTCATTGCCTTCGATGTATGCGCCCCAACCAGGGATTGAACCTGCAACCTAGGTATGTGTCCTGACAGGGAATCGAACCAGTGACCTTTCAGTGTATGGGATGATGCTCAACCAACTGAACTACACTGGCCAGAGCTTGACTCTGATTTTTATTGTTTTCTTTCTTCTGCTTTGTTTGTTCTTTATTTCCCTTGTCTTCAAGGTGTAAAGTGAGATTGTATATTGGAGTTCTTTCTTGCTTTTTTAATGTAGGCATTTTTCACTATGAACTTCCCTCTTAGAACTGCTTTTGTACCATTATATAGGTTTTAATGTGTTATGCTTCTATTTTTCTTTTTTTCATGGTATTTTTTGATCTCCCTTTTGACCATTTGGTTTGTTCAGGGTCATATTGTTTAATTTCCATATATTTGAGTTTTCCAGCTTTCCTCCTGTTATTAATTTCTTGATTCATAATACTGTGGTAGGAATAGATATTTGGTTTGATTTCAGTCTTCTTAAATTTGCTAAAATTGTTTTATGGCCTGTCATATGATTTATCCTTGTGAATGTTTCATGTACACTTGAGAAAAATGTGTATTTTGGTGCTGTTGGAAACAGCCTTTTCTAGAAATGCATGTCAGGTCCATTGATCTAGTGTATGTGTCTATTCCAATGTTTCCTTCTTTGCTTTTTTTTCTTCTGGATGATTTATGCATTACTGAAAGTGGGGTATTGAGATATGACATTGTGCTCATCATTCCAAAACTTGTTTTTCATAAACATTATATTTTATGTATTAAACTGGTACTTTATATTTAAAATTATTTGTCCTGTAGGTAAAATTTGTTACCACACTCCAAACTTTATTTTGTACTTTTGATATGTGAACCATGCTTGAAACATAGTAGCAATTACCTTTGACTTACAAGTTTTTAAAATACACGTAGATGTGGTTTTCATGTGCTTGTGTTTGTGAAATTTTTACCTTTTAGACCGATTTGATGTATTTAATACCTGTATTATTCTTTTGCTTATTTTGCATATGCAGAGTCCTGTGGTGTGGGAATCTTGTGCACCCCACCCCCCCCAAAGAAACATGGCGAATTTAAGGGAAGAAGAGGGCTGAGAACTCATTTCTGAAATCTTAGTTAATTATTTATTGATCATTCAGATCATATGTTCTTCTATGTGGGACTGTATTTTTAACTCATTGATTGTTGTCTTGAATATATGCCAGGTGGCTTCAAAATTTACTTGGTGTTTGGAGGAATTGAATATAATATTATTTTGTTTTGCAGGGGTTCTCAACCAGATAAAACAATAGATAAGAATTATTCAAAGAGGGCTGCACATACCAAAGAAAAGAGAAGAGGTGATGATGGCATTTCTCTTGTAGTGTCTGATACTCAGTCTGAAGGTTTGTTAACTTGGAAAACTGTTGTTATGTGAATTTTTGTGTATTACATTTGTAATAATGTTTTCAAAAAATTGATTTTGAGCGAGAGGAAGAGAGAGAGAAACATTTATGTGAGAGAGAAACATCTATCAGTTGCCTCCTGCTTGCCCCTCGAGCAGGATTTGAACCTGCAAACTGGGTATATACCCTGACTGGGAATGGAACCCACCAGGTTTTGCTGTATAGGATAATGTTTCAAGCAACTGAGCCACACTGGCCATGGTACCTTTGTAATAATTTTTAATTTATGAAAAACTTTATTAAATTTTAAGTTTAAACTCTATGTGAAAATAAAGAGAAATTGAGAACTTCCGGTCAAGATGGCGGCGTAGGTAAACCCTGTATCACGTCCTCCCACAACCACATCAAAGTTACAACTAAACTACTGAACACCCATCATTCAAAACCGCCTGAAATCGAGCTGAATGGAAGTCCTACAACTACGGAATTAAAGAAGCAGCCACATAGAGACTGGTAGGAGGGGCGGAGGCGGTCAGGCTGGTCCCACACCCACATGTGGTGGATAAAAATCAGGAGGACACCTCGGCTGGGAAGGTCCTCCCTGAGGACTGAGGGGTCCCCCTCCCACAACAGGCATCCTGCTCAGGGTTCCAGTGCCAGGAAGAGAAGTCCCTATAACTTCTGGCTGGAAAAACCAGTGGGAACTGAGGCTCAGGGAGGCTGAGGTGGCTGGAGCCCCAGGCAGCTCCTTTTAAAGGGCCCGCACACAGAATTATCAGACTCACTCCCTCTAAGCTTGGAAGGGAGGCAGCTCGAGGGGCACCAGAATCATACAGGGAAGAACTGAGCTGCTTGGCATTGGAGCAAGGGCTGGAGAGGGGGCTTTCTCCGGGAAAGGTGTGCTTTCAGAGGCCTTTGTTCCTTTGGTGAGCCCTTCCCTGGGGCGGCAGATAGCCGCCATATCTGGGACTCAAGCAACTTGGCTCACACTGGTAGCCTTGCCCTGGTGATTCCCTGAGGCCCCGCCCCGCCCAACTTTCAGGCCCACCTAAGCTGTTGGCACTTGCTTAACCATAGGATTGGCCTATCTTGGACCCTGCTTCAGGTTTTCCTAAATTCCTTCAAACAAGCAGCATCTGGTCTCAGCTAGCCCCATACCGCTCGTTAAGTAATACACAGAAACAAACACAGGGAGGCAACCAAAATGAAGAGACAAAGAAACAGGTTCCAAATGAAAGAACAGAACAAAACTCCAGGAAAAGAACTAAGCGAAATGGAGATAACTTAACAGATGCAGAGTTCAAAACACTGCTTATAAAGATGCTCAATAAACTTAGTGAGAACCTCAATGAACTTAGTGAGGGCCTCAGCATAAAAAAGGAGCAGTCAGAAATGAAGGAGGCACTAACTGAAATAAAGAATAATTTACACAGATTCAATAGTAGAGTGGGTAAAGCCAAGAAACAAACCATCGATTTGGAATATAAGGAAGCAAAAAACACCCAATCAGAACAGCAAAAAGAAAAAAGAATACTAAAAAATGAGGATAGTGTAAGGAGCCTCTGGGACAACTTCAAGCATACCAACATTCCCATCTTGATGGTGCCAGAAGGAGAAGAGAGAGAACAAGAAATCAAAAACCTATTTGAAACAATAATGGCAGAAAACTTCCCTAACTTGGTGAAGGAAACAGACAGTCCAAAACATGAACCCCAAGAGGCCTACACCAGGACACATCATCATCAAAACGCAAAAGGTTCAAGACAAAGGGAGAATCTTAAAAGCAGCAAGAGAAAAGCAGTTAGTTACCTACAAGGGAGTTCCCATAAGACTGTCAGCTGATTTCTCAAAAGAAACTTTGCAGGCCAGAGGGTGTGGCAAGAAATATTCAAAGTGATGAAAAGCAAGAACCTACAATGATGATTACTCTATCCTGCAAAGCTGTCATTTAGAATCGATGGCCATATAAAGACTTTCCCAGACAAGAAAAAGCTAAAGGTGTTCATCACCACCAAACCGTTATTATATGAAATGTTGAAGGGTTTTTTTGAAGAAAAAGATAGAGTATGTGAACAAACAAAATGGCCATGAATACATATCTATTGACAGTAGAATCTACAAACAAAATGAACAGGCAGAAGAGAAGCATTCTCATAGATACAGAGAACATTTTGTTGGTTGCCAGATGGGAGAGGGGTTGGGGGAATGGGTGAAAAAGTTGAAGGGATTAAGAAGTACAAATTGGTTGTTAGACTGACAAACCTCAAAGGAAGGGGGTTGGGGCATGGGAAGAAATAAACCAAAAAACCTATACGCATAACCAATGGACACAGACAACAGTGTGGGGAAAGGCAGGAGCAGGGTGGGAGTGGTCAGGAGGGGTTCAGTGGGGGAAAAATGAGGAACATCTGTAATACATTCAGTAATAAAGATAAAAAAAAAATAAATAAATAAAGGGAAATGATCTTAGCAACTCAAAGAAAATTGTTAGATTTACTATTTGTATCCTGTAGTGTATATTTCTTGATCTATTTATTAAATCCAAAAGTAAATTAGAATATTTTTTGTTTTTGTTGGGGCTGGTCATATATCTAAAGAGTTTTAATGTTAGTTTAACTATTTCTAAGTATTTTCATGGATATGCTTGGGATTGATATTACTGCTAACTTGATTATTATTATTAGCTTTCCACTGTTTATCCTCCTGTGAAATATATTCTTTATTCATTAGAATTTCTCTCAGCTCTAGGAGGATGCCAGTAAAAGCCACTATTAGCATTTTTAAAGGTAAATATATCCCAGACTACTGAAAATGTTTTGTAGGCCTCCTGGATGTAGGGTTATAGAATTCACGTCTTTTCTCTTTTAAAATTTTAAAATAATTTACAAAAACTTTCACAAGAACAATTTACTGCAATAGTGATATGTGAAACTAACCTAGCCAGGGGTCTCTTGGATCATTGATAGCTCAAACTAGTGAGGTATCTTGTTTTCTAAATGATTTTTAAATTATTCACAAGAAAAGATGGTCCTTTAATGACACTATACAACATTTCTTTGTACTTCCTTTGAAACACAGCTATTGACAGATTTTTAGTAACTTTCTCATAGAAGAAGCAAACTTAAAAGGACACACTAGACTAATAACTTTGATGTACACAAGAAACCTGCTTTAACTCTTATGAGGGCAATCGTTAGAGAAAACATTTCGATTCTGTAGTTGTAATCTTTGAATTTGTCACTAAATATTCTCTACATCTGATGAAAGACATTTCTTATGAATTGTGCTTTTCTCAGCCATAATTACCTTTGGTTATCAAATATAAGTATTTGTACAAGTGGGCTCAATTTAGATACTATCAAGACACTGTTAAGCCCTTATATTCCATTGCTTTTCTCGGTAGAGTAAGAATAGTTGAATAAAAAGCTTCCTGATTTGTGCCCTTCAGTACTTCAAAATGCCAGTGGAATTTTAGATTTATAGCAGGGAAAAAAAATACGTAATAAATGAAATGCTTTATATTTTCTCAGTATTCCTGAAGGTTCTCCTCATAGGTAAAGTGATTTTAGGAAAATTAGGTATTGAAACTTTATTAAAACTCACCATGTTTTCATCCTTTTGATACCTGTGTCTAATACCAGTTGTTTAATAGAGGGCCATAAGTGAATGGGAATTCTGAATTAAACCCCAGGTGTACCATTCTTTTGTAGCACATTAAGTTTTCCTTGTGGAAATTGTGTTGAAAATAATACTTTGAAAATATTAAATATTTTTTGTTTAGAGAAATTTTTTATCTCTTTGATTTTATATGCTAGTAATATTTGTAAGTTAAATTATATATATGATACAAGTAGAATCCTATTTTTACAATGTCTAGCTCTGTCTAATAAATGTATTTATTTTCTTTGTGATAGTCTTGGCAGATGTGCAAATAGTAACCTGTTTAAAGGAAAATTCATGCACAATAGAGTTTTTTTTAGGCCACTTTTCTTTCATTAGTCTTTTTACTATAGTATTATGTTTAGAAAGTTTACTCTCTTTAAAAAAATTTTTTTTGGTCTTTATTGAGTTTAGAGAGAAAGGAAGGGAGAGGGAGAGAGAAGAAACATCCATGAGAGAGAACATTGATTGGCCATCTCCTGCATGCCCCTCACTGTGGATTTGGCCAACAACTGGGCATGTTCCTTGACCAGGATTCGAAACGGTGTGACTTCTTGATGCATGGGTTGATGCTCAACCACTGAGCCACGCTGGCCGGCTATGTTTAGGAATTTTAATGTGATACAGTTTTTATGTGTAGAAATTGCATTGGATTACTTTTACAGTTTATATACTTACAAATAAAACTTATTGTGCTTTTCAAAAAACTGTGTTGATGATTTGGAGGGAGTTTGTTTTCCTGTGGGAGGGAATAAAGAGTATTTTCTTTGGAAATTGGAAGACTGTTGTTGACTGTCTTGGAGTGTTTGCCCTCAATCCTGCCCCAGTGCCTGCATTTTAAGCAACAACAAAGATATTATGAGTGTTAGTCATTAGATGTCTATGAAGCTATAGTAAGAGCAAGAATAGTTTGTAGTAGTAAAGGAACTTTGAGTGAATGGAGAGATCAGGCTGGTTAGTGTTACATGAATTATAAATTACGAATTCAAGGAAGCTATTTGGGACTTGCTGTGCCAAGTAAACTTTGAGTTTGTATTTGAATAAGGACAGAAAGCAAAGTAATTCAGAATAACCTTCAGTTAGGTAGAACCTATTAGAAGGTATTTTTGTACAGTACATATATTTGATAACTGAAATGCTAAGCATTTTTAGCAATAATTTTATGGGTTTCAAAAGAATGCTTTCTTGACTTAAAAAAGGGAGCACATTTTTCTCTGTAGAGTAGTAGATTTATTGGAGACTTCACATAACAAGGTCTTGTTTTTTTCTTTTTCTTAAAATTTATTGTTGAATGTATTACAGATGTTCCTCATTTTTCCCCCACTGGACCCCTCCTCCCCACTCCTGCCCCCCTCCTGCCTTTTCCCACACTGTTGTCTGTGTCCATTGGTTATGCATATATACGTATAAGTTCTTTGGTTTATCTCTTCCCACCCCCAACCCCCTTACCTTTGAGGTTTGTCAGTCTAACAACCAATTTGTACTTCTTAATCCCTTCACCTTTTTCACCCATTCCCCCACCCAACGCCCCATCTGGCAACCAACAAAATGTTCTCTGTATCTATGAGAATGCTTCTCTTCTGCCTGTTCATTTGTTTGTAGATTCCATTGTTGATAGATATGTATTCATGGCCATTTTGTTTGTTCATATATTTTTATCTTTTTCTTCAGAAAGACCCTTCAACATTTCATATAATAACGGTTTGGTGGTGATGAACACCTTTAGCTTTTTCTTGTCTGGGAAAGTCTTTATATGGCCATCGATTCTAAATGACAGCTTTGCAGGATAGAGTAATCATCATTGTAGGTTCTTGCTTTTCATCACTCTGAATATTTCTTGCCACTCCCTTCTGGCCTGCAAAGTTTCTATTGAGAAATCAGCTGACAGTCTTATGGGAACTCCCTTGTAGGTAACTAACTGCTTTTCTCTTGCTGCTTTTAAGATTCTCCCTTTGTCTTGAACCTTTTGCGTTTTGATGATGATGTGTCCTGGTGTAGGCCTCTTGGGGTTCATGTTTTGGACTGTCTGTTTCCTTCACCAAGTTAGGGAAGTTTTCTGCCATTATTGTTTCAAATAGGTTTTCGATTTCTTGTTCTCTCTCTTCTCCTTCTGGCACCATCAAGATGGGAATGTTGGTATGCTTGAAGTTGTCCCAGAGGCTCCTTACACTATCCTCATTTTTTAGTATTCTTTTTTCTTTTTGCTGTTCTGATTGGGTGTTTTTTGCTTCCTTATATTCCAAATCGATGGTTTGTTTCTTGGCTTTACCCACTCTACTATTGAATCTGTGTAAATTATTCTTTATTTCAGTTAGTGCCTCCTTCATTTCTGACTGCTCCTTTTTTATGCTGAGGCCCTCACTAAGTTCATTGAGGTTCTCACTAAGTTTATTGAGCATCTTTATAAGCAGTGTTTTGAACTCTGCATCTGTTAAGTTATCTCCATTTCGCTTAGTTCTTTTCCTGGAGTTTTGTTCTGTTCTTTCATTTGGAACCTGTTTCTTTGTCTCCTCATTTTGGTTGCCTCCCTGTGTTTGTTTCTGTGTATTACTTACTTAACGAGCGGTATGGGGCTAGCTGAGACCAGATGCTGCTTGTTTGAAGGAATTTAGGAAAACCTGAAGCAGGGTCCAAGATAGGCCAATCCTGTGGTAAAGCAACTGGCAACAGCTTGGGTGGGCCTGAAAGTTGAGTAGGGCGGGGCTTCAGGGAATCACCAGGGCGGGGCTACCAGTGTGAGCCAAGTTGCTGGAGTGCCAGATTTGGCAACTGTCTGCCACCCCAGGGAAGGGCTCACCAAAGGAACAATGGCCTCTGATAGCATATCTGTCCAGAAGAAAGCCCCCTCCCCAGCCCTTGCTCCAATGCCAAAAAACTCAGTTCTTTCCCATATGTCTCTGGTGCCTTTCAAGCTACCTGGAAGGTGCGAGTTTGAGTAAGTCCATGCAGGGGCCCTTTACGAGAAGCTGCTTGGGACTCCAGCCGCTTCAGCCTGTCTCAGCCTCAGTTCCTGCTGGTTTTTCCAGCTACAAGTTATGGCGACTTGTTTTTTGGCACTGGAGCCCTGAGCTGAGTGTCTGGTATGGGATGGGGACCTCTCAGTCCTCAGGGAGGATCTTCTCAGCTGAGGTATCCTTCTAGTATTTTTTTGCCACACATTTGTTTGGGACCAGCCGTCATGCCCCCACCCCTCCTACCAGTCTTTATGTGGTGGCTTCTTTGCTTTAGTAGTTGTAGTACTTCCATTCAGCTTGATTTCAGGTAGTTTTGAATCATGGTTGTTCTGTTGTAACTTTGATGTGGTTGTGGGAGGGTGCGATACTGTGTTTACATATTTCACCATCTTGACCAGAAGTCCGATTTTTTTTTTTTGTTTGTTTTTTTTTTTTGTTGTTTTAAATTTTTTTTATCCTCACCCGAGGACATTTTTCCATTTTTTGTACAGAGTGGGAGGGAGAGAGGAAGAGACAGAGAGTGAGAAACATCGATGTGAAAGGGACACATCGAGTGGCTGCCACCCGCACGACCAACCAGGGCCGGGGACAAACTGCAACCAAGGTACATGCCCTTAGCAGGAACCGAACCCGGGTCTCTCCGGACCGCAGGCGGGCGCTCTAACCGCTGAGCCAAACCGGCCAGGGCCGATTTTTTGTTTTTAAAGATAAATTCAATCTTTCTATTTCTGGACAGTTTTGAGAAGTACTTCAAATAAGAAAATGGAATATAGCACCTTCCAGAACAGCCAGATAAATTCTCTCATACTAATTGGGTTTCATATGTTTCCAGAATCAATCACAATGCTAAAACAAGCAAGAAAATTGTGTACTTTAATTTAGAAATTGGAAGAATTATAAATATAGCTGTGTTAATACTGATTTGTAAAAATAAGAATCTAACTGTAAAGGAAATTGATAGCCTTGTGAATAATTACATATCATAGTCAGATGCTGAGGAAAGGTATTTTGGCTCCTTTTGAAAAAACAGTGATCAATACTCTACTTTTTAGAATTATTGTACCTTCTCACATCAAGTGTGTGTGTGTGTGAAACTTAAAAGACAATTTCTGAAATCACAATGAATTATCAAAATGTTTTAAGACATAAATTTTCCAAATTTTATTAAGATCTCCACTTTCCTCCCCTTTTAATATTATGCTTGAATGCAGTTATAGCAAAAGGTAAAACGTGGTTTGGTTGCTTTGCTTTGGTTACTAATGAATACTCCATTTTTACATATGTAAAAATGTATTTTTATATTTTGTATTTATTGTGCAATGTACATTCACTTTGTGTATGCAGTTTAAAATAGGATATCTGTTTATGTTTATCCATGTCAGTATGAGAATTTAACAGTGGACTTCTTTTTAATATTAGCTTTGGAAGTAGTATAGCAATTTTGATAATGTTTCTGAGAGTTCTTCTAAAGGAATTCTTTCTATAATTTTTGGTTATGTATGTCTCTTTTGTTTTTTAAGACCTCAGTAGTGGAAGTAGAGATTGTGATCATCTTGAAGAGGGGAGCAGAAACAAGAATGGTACATATTCCGATTCGAAAATGGAACCCACTCCGATTTCCAGGAAGAGAAAGAAAAGATTTAGAAATAATTTACCTGATTCTCATAATTCTACTTCTTTATATAAGTCAGCAGAACAGACAGTAAGTAGAGGTATTTAGATGTCACATGAAATAATTTGTGCTATGATAAAAATGAATAGACAATGGCTAAATGATGTTTCTCTAGCTTTTTGCTTTTATCAGATTTATTTTTGTCTATTTTTTGATTTTTAAAAAATGATTTAAATGAAACATTTTTGCAGTTAATACAGTTATTGGAACAAATTTTAAATATTATGAATGAATAAAAAAGTTAAGTTTGCTCCCCCTCCTTAGTACTTTGGCGTATATCCTTCAGACTTGTTTTCTTTTATTTTTCATTATTTTAACCAAATACTATTTGTATTGCCCAGTTAATTACCTTTTCACTTGCTCTGTAAAATTATCAGATTTCTTTTATCAGTAGTAATTTACTTACCAACTTTAAGATTCTCTTATCTAGAGTTTAGGGAATTTTTTTCTAAGTAAAGAATTACCATATTTAGTGTATATATTACCTATTTTCAAAGACTTACTATTGGGTAACAATAAAAATATAAGAAGACAGCTTTTTGAATTCTTTGATTCACAAGGCATTTCAGGATTTTTAGTGTCTTTCGGTTATAATTACACACACACACACACACACACACACACACACACACACACTTTATTCCTCACCTGAGGATATTTTTCCATTTATCGTTAATTGTGTGGGAGGGAGGGAGAGAGAGACAGAGAGAAACATTGATGTGATAGAGCCACATTAACTGGTTGCCTCCTACATGACCTGACCAGGGCTGGGGAGGAACTGCAGCTGGGGTATGTGCCCTTGACTGGAATCGAACCTGTGACTCATTGGTCTGCGGGCCGACGCTCTAACCACTTAGCAAACAGGCCAGGGCCTGTCTTATAATTATAAACATAAGTTAGATTTATGCATTAATACAGATGTAAAGGCAGCGATTGAGTTTCATAATTTTTTTATATTGTTATCTGCTTAAGTTTTGAATTTTTTGCTGTTGTTACTAGCCACGTGATGTCATATGGCTTCTTTACTTTTGTAAAATAAAACTGTAAAAACAATTTCTCCCATTCTAAAGTTGACTTACATCATGGAAGACCATCTGAAACACTTGTAAATATGGGAGTTTCACCATCCTATCATTTTAAAAACTGTTTAGGCATCAGATTGGACAGATCAGACTCTGTATTTTTATACTTGGGAGACACTGGCAAGAGTAATGTAGTATAATTGTATAGTTTTCTATCCCTGTAGTTATAGAAATGATATAATATTTTTACTTTTATATTCTTCTTTAGAAATTTAAACTTACAAAAAGTCTTTATGCTAGCCAAATTAGAGAAATGCTAATTGTTTGTATGCATTTATTTATATTCAGACAGAGCAAGAAAATGACTCAACAGTATCTTCAGAGTTTGAAAAGACAAGTGAAAATCATGATCAAGATCCAAAACTGCTTGAAGAAATTACACCTGAACCTACAGAAAGTGATTTAACTAAACTATCCTCACTTAATAGTCAGGAGTTGGCTTTGAGTACTATTCCCAAAAGCACCTCTGACTGTTCAGTCACTGAAACTTTTGAGAGCTCTATTTCCACTGATACTTTGGGGAATTCTACCCTGGTTGAGAAGGATGAGAGTATGTTGAACACGATAGAAAAGCCTGTTTTAAGTGAACACAGTGAAGGGAACCAATCACTGATCTCAGCTGAACCAAGTAAGTAACAGGAGGGTTATAAAGGCTCTTAAGTTTTTCTGCTCTACTTAGTTATTTTATTTCTACTCTTGAACAAATTTGGCAAAGACAGTCAGCCACTTGTGACATCACTGGAATATATTAACTTTAGGAAAAAAGACTTGGGGTTTTGGGACTTCATGAAGTTTATAATACTGATTTAAGTAAAAAAAAAAAAAGGAGTATTTGGAAGCAGAAGTAATTTTTTTTTAGATTAGAGTACTGTAATTCATCCTATCAGATTTTTAAAGATTTCATAAGGACCATTGTTATTGTCATTTGGTTGATGAAGCTGAAGTACACAGAATTTAAGTGCTATTTAATTATTGTCATTAATTTTGATTTAATTAATTTTTGAGTGTTTGATGTCATCACATGGTACATAAAAGGTTCTAAAGGATATACAATGAATAGTTTTCCACATCTTCCCCCAGCCATCCATTTCCCCCTCCTGGAAGCAACTAATGTAACAAGATTTAAAGTACAATTTAGAGTAAGTACAATACATTATCAAGCCTAGAACTTGTTCCTAAGTTCTTCTTGGCTCTATATGTTTTTAAATGTCTTCATCCTTTGACCAGCAGGTAATTGCTAAATAATAGTACTGATTTGGAAAGATTGCACATAACTGGTATACATCAGACAGACCAGTTTCTAAACTGAATAAAGTTAGATGATTAAAGCTAATGGGATTATTGAAGATATATTGCATGAATTAGAAAATTCTTTTTTTGATATGTGATTATTGAGACACATTTAAAAAAACACATTTTTCCTTTTTAGTTGTTGTTTCCAGTGATGAAGAAGGACCCATTGAACATAAAAGTTCAGAAATTCTTAAATTACAATCTAAGCAAGACCTTGGCATCACTAATGAAAATGAGAGTATTTCTGAATCAGCATTGTCAGAACTACCATTGATTACATGTGAATCAGTACAGGTAATTTATTTCTGCCTTCTCACTGATAAATAATGAAATATTCACTATTGGCTAATAACTATTTTTTGTTTCATCGAGAATATTGTAATAAAAATTACAAATATTTTTAGTTTGAATTTTTTTAGACAACTTTCATATTAGTTTCAGATGTAATTGTCTTTATTTGAAGTGAAAGGATTATACCATTTTTCCTGGTCTTTTATACTTTTTCAGTCTAAATATTCAATTACATCTATGTATATTTTATGTATATTTTGTATATTTTAATGGTTCTCATTAGATATTTAAGTACTTTATTAAAACTTTTTCTAGAATTAAAGTTTCCAATATTTATCTGGTCTTGTAATACTATAACTATTTGGAATTATTCCTTTTCCTCACATGCTATTAAGGCAGTATAATATAGAGAAAAGAGCATGGCTCCTGGAGATATACAAACCTGTGTTCAAATCCTGTCTCTGCTATTTGGGCAGGTAACTTACCTTCCTTAAGCCTGAGTTTTGTCATATGATAAATGAGGATAATGATGCCTACCTCACAAAATTATTTTGAGTATTAAATGAAATAACATGAAGGATTTAGAACAATGTCACAAACCTATCAGTTAAGTCCTTTGTATTTTCCTTCTCATAGAACATAATAAATGGTAGTCTCTGTTGGTTTAATGTCAGCTACTTGTGTTTTTGACATAACACTTAGAAGAGTCTAGCTCTAAAGTAAGTTTCAAGTCATTTATTGTCAGTATTTATTCATATTGTGAACCTCTGATTAAGTTATTTAAGAAATGATTATCAGCCCAGCCAGTGTGGCTCAGTAGTTGAGTGTCGACCCATGCACCAAGAGGTTGCCAGTTTGATTCCTGGTCAGAGCACATGCCCAGGTTGTGGGCCAAGTCCCCAGTGGGGGTCATGCAGGGGGCGGCCAATCGATGTTCTCTCTCATCGATGTTTCTATCTGTCTCTCATTCTCCTTTCCTCTTTCTAAATCAATAAATAAAAAAAAAGAAATTATCAGTGACCACCAGTACAGAATTATGGTTAGCTCCATTGGTTTGTTTTTAAATAATATCAGAGGCTATTCTGTAGAGTGTGATGAAGAATTTGATCAGTTTTATGAAAACAGTCTGATAGTGAAATTAGTTTCACCACTATTTCTATTGGATTAGGAACTCCATACAGAGATTACTCAGTAACTGTGTTCTGAATTTTTGTTAAAATGTAACCATTTTTGCCCTGGTCAGTTTGGCTCAGTGGTTGGAGCGTCGGCCTGCGGATCAGAGAGTCCTGGGTTCGGTTCCCGCTAGGGGCACATACCAAAAAAAAGTAACCATTCTTGCCCAATGAGCCATAGCATATTTGGTGGCTTAGTTGTATCTGTAATTAAAATAGTGTCATTGTTGATAATTAGTTCAAACTTCTAGATGAATTATAGTTCTTTTGGCAGCATATTAAGTTTACAATGCAGTATAAAATGATCATATTATAAGAACATAACAGGCCCTGGCCAGGTAACTCAGTTGGTTAGAGCATCATGCTGATATGTCAAGGTTGCGGGTTTGATGTCTGGTCAGGGCACATATAAGAAGCAACCAATAAATGTATAAATAACTGGAAAAACAAATCATTGTTTCTCTCTCTCTAAAATTAATCAATACAAAATGAAAAGAAAATAGCATCTCCTGTGGAACTGACGGAATATGATTACAACCAAACAGCAAATACTGTGGAGACCTACCAAGACCCATAAGACAGAATATCACAACATCTCCATATTCTCTCTTGTTTCTAGTTTCAAATAAAGTTATGAGAAACATGGATTGCTTATTTTTAGGAGGCAGTTAGTCTTTACAAAATGTGAGGCCCAGTAAGAAATTATCTCTATCTTGTAATTTTATCACTTAGAGAGAGAGAGTTCTCCAGCTGAGTAGAGCCACCTGTAGTTGATTTGATTTCCTGTTTTACTTTGGGGATAAGAACAGTATAGTAAACAATAAAAGAAGAGAATGTCAAAGAAATTCCACTTTGCAGGTTAATGCCATTATGGACTGGGTTAAAAATAATGAGTACTGTATACGTTTCAGATGAGGACTAATCAGATTTTCTAGAGGTTGGTAGAGAGTACACATGCATAATTGCTCCAGTGATAATTTACTTGATTACTTGTGATGTTAGGGTTAAAGAGGGATAGTGTGCAAAGGCTAGGCAAATGTGGAGTTGAAAAAGTCATTTTAGCCCTGGCCGGTTTGGCTCAGTGGTTGGAGCGTTGGCCTGCGGACCAGAGAGTCTCGGGTTTGGTTCCCGCTAGGGGCATGTACCAAAAAAAAAAAAAAGAAAATGTCATATTAAAGCAGTGTGAAATTCAGGAGAGATTGTGGGCAATAGCTACTGCTGATACTGCTTGGTTGTCTATTGTAATTTAAAAGCAGAGTTGTGTGGAAGTGGTATGATTTTTGAGGTTTTAGACAACTGGTTGGCTACCCTCAGAGATGGAGCATATAGTTAAACAGATTTCATTTAACAGATGGTTTTTAGGTACTTATAGCCCTTCATTGCTCATTAAACTCTCAATAATAAGAGCGTATCTTGGTTTATGGAAACAATTTTATGTGGTTGGAATAACCCTTGGAGATAGAGACATGAATTTGTCTTATCTTTGCTTTTTACTAACTGCATTACCTTGGGCAAGTCACTTAACCAATCCAAACATCTATTAAGTCAAGAAATGGAAAAAAAAAAAAAAGAAAGAAAACTGCCTCATGGAGTGGTTGTGATTAAAAGAGGGAATATAGTTAAAAACTCATTTTAAACTAAAACATATAAACCTTAATTTATAAACCTTAATTTACTTCTGTTGAGTTAAAAGAGAATATTAACTTTGAAATCATGGCTTTGATACAGAGGAAGATAATTTCTAGAGTTTAGACATGGAATTTAGGGTTCTACTATTTGATTTTTCTCAAGGTAAATACATACTTGTAAAAAATGTGTTTTTATTGATGTTAGACAGAGTGGGAGAGAAACACTGATGCAAGAGAGAAACATCCCGCCCCGGGATCTAACCTGCAACCTGGGCACATTCCCTGACTAGAAATTCAACTGGCAGCCTTTTGGTGCATGGAATGATGCTCAACCAACTGAGACACACTGAGCTACACTGGCTGAGGCTAAATTATGTACTTTTTAAGAAAAAATAATCTAGATAATTATTTCCTCACTGTAAGAACAGTATAAAATTCTTCAGCTTCATTAATAATAAAGAAGTATTTGACTTTGGAAAATCATTGTCAACATTTATGTAACAATATTTAGGGTTTTAAGCATTTTATAATTTATTTCTTGTTAGGCTTCATCTGAATTGTGTCCTGCCATGGAAAATATTTCCTGTATTATACCTAGTAATGAGATGGATCTACAACTGGATTTTATATTTACTTCTGTTTATATTGGTAAAATAAAAGGAGCTTCTAAAGGTTGTGTTACAGTAAGTACATTTAAAATATATGTATATTTTTTAGTTTTGGATCTTGGACAAGGTATTTCAGATTGACTTCTCTTTTTCTAGTGTAAATGAAAATAAAACTGAGAATAATTTTATGTGGGACACTATATATGTTATTATACATACTTTGAAACATCTCTTTAATTGAGGGGGGTCCTAAAATCACAGGGTACTGTCCTAAAGTTATATTTCTGATCTAACTGCTCTAATCTAATAAAAATCATGTATAAAAACTACATATTGATAATCTTTGGGCTCTAAAACTGATTTAGTGGTAAAGTATATTTTTGGTCCTGGTGTAGTTGGGAGCACAACTAAGAAGTCTCATTTTGCTGGTTTAAATTCTTAAAAGCTGAGTTTTCCAAATTCTTAAACTTGTAAGGATCTCCAAGAACCGTTCCTACTCTATTTTTCCACTTTTTTTGGCCAGTATTCCTCCTTATATAATATATATGAAAGCCAGATTGGATTTTACTCAGTTTTCTGTATTTTCTCAGCATTTTAGCTTGCTAAAATCCTAGTCATCTGTTAAGGCTTATCTGAAATACTTCCTTTTCCAGGAATCCTTTTTTGATTCCTCCTTCCTAGCCAGAATCAACTTCTCCCTTTACTGTGTACTTATAGTACTTCATTTGTACATCTTTTGTAGTATTTACTCTGTGTGTTCATGCTTGTTTATATTCCTGCCTGAACCCCCCTTTTAGCCTTTAAGCATCTTGTGGTAAAGAGCCATGCTTTTATTCTCTTTGATCTTTCCAAAAATGGCTGAAACCTAAGTAGGCCCTATAAACTTTAGTTAAATTGAATTGACTACATCAGAATATAACTCAGGTATTTTCCTAGAAGTTTTATTAATGTTTCACTGTGTTAGGAATAGGGCAGGAAATATAAAAGTGCTAAGACATGGTCTCTGCTTTTAAGGAACTTGCAGTATAATGGAAGCAACAGGCCCATAGATATATATTTACATTATGGTAAAATGTACAATAGAAATATGTACAAAAATGGTACATATGGGAATGAGTACCTGTATCTGTGTGGAGGAATCAGGGAAGACTTCACAGAGAAGACAGTGCATGATTTAAGACATAAAGTAGATGTTTATTTGGTAGCAAAGTGGGGAAGACCTAATCCTAATAGAGTATACATTAGGTACAAATCCAAAAAATCCTGGGAACTACAAATAATGATAGCTTGTGATATAGTTAAAATCGCTTTGATTGAAAGCACAAGAGCAATAGCGTTTAAAATTAATATTCCTTGGTCACTAGTTTTCAGATATTGATGATTTTGGCATGCTTGGGGTGATTTTACAATTCTTTTTCTTTACGGAATTTTGTTCACATTTTGTCCCCCACCACACAACCCCTACATTTTGTTTTTAATTTTAAATTCAGGTTTAACCAATTTTTTGTTGAGTTCTTTGTAGTAGCAAAAAATTAGGTAAGTTCAATATATGACAATAATTTATTAGCTGGGAAGGAAAATCCAACACAAATATCCAACAATGGGTTTTCATTTGTTAATATATTAATTATGTTATTACATAGTCAGGTGGGCTCGTTATGGGCAAAAAAACAAAACCAAACAAAAAACTACACTTGAGTAAAGATATAATTAAGCTTTTGCCAGTTTGGCTCAGCAGTTAGAGCATCAGCCCATGAACCAAAGGGTTCAATTCCCAGTCAAGGGCGCATTACCTGGGTTTCAGGTTTGATGCCTTGCCCTAGCTGGGGTTATGTGGGAAGCAACCAATGAATGTGTCCCTCTTCCATCTGTGTCCCCCCCCCCCCCCCCCCCCGCTTCATTCTATCTAAAAATCAATGGAAAAAATATCCTTGGGTGATTTTTAAAAACAAATAAACAAAGATATAATTAAAAGAACTCCTAAAATCTTGCTTATCTAGAGATAGGCAAGAGTGTAGGGCATGTGTTTAAAACAAAAGAATAGCCCTGGCCGGTTTGGCTCAGCGGTTAGAGCGTCGGCCTGCGGTCCGGAGAGACCCGGGTTCGGTTCCCGCTAAGGGCACGTACCTCGGTTGCAGTTTGTCCCCAGCCCTGGTTGGGTCGTGTGGGTGGCAACCACTCGATGTGTCACTTTCACGTCGATGTTTCTCTCTCTCTCTCTCCCTCTCACTCTATCTGAACAAAATATCGAAAAAAAAAAAAAAGAATATGATACACATACTGTTTTGTAACTCATCATGATTATGTTAAACTAATTTAATTCATGTACCTGTTTTAGGATACTTGGGTTGTCCTTAATTTCTGACTGTTGGACATTTCAGTTCTCCTAGTATTTTGCTATTACAAATAGTAGGAGACTACAAATATTCAATAAATGTCATAAAGTAGGTTTTAAAATTTTATCTGATTGTTGGAACACTTCTTGTAATTAAAGTAAAAACCTTAAATGTCTAATTATAAGAAAGTGGCTTAGTAAATAAAAGCAAATGCATGCAGGAGAAATATATGCATGTGAGCAAAGACAGAGGAATTCTGCAAAAACTAAAAAAGTTATGTTATACCTTGGCTGGTTTTGCTCAGTGGTTAGAGTGTTGGCTCACTGACCAAGGAATTGTGGGTTTGACTCTGGTTAAGGGCACGTATCTTGGTTGACTGTTTCTATTTTGTTTGTTAGTTTATTTTGTTCATTAGATTTCACATGTAAGTGAAATTATATGGTATTTGTCTTTCTCTGGCTTATTTCACTTTGCAGAATACTCTCCAGGTCCATCCGTGCTTTAACATAGGGTAAGATTTCTTCTTTTTTTTTTTTTTCCCCAGCTGAATAGTATTCCATTGTGTAAATGTACCAAAGTTAAAAAAATTTTTTTTTTCCTTTATTGATTTTAGAGAGAGAGGAAGGGAGAGGGGGAGAGAGATAGAAACATTGATGAAAGAGAACATCGATTGGCCACCTCTTGCATGCCTCCCAGTGGGGATTTGGCCCACAATTTGGGCATGTGCCCTGACTGAGCATCGAACCAGCAACCTCTTGGTGCATGGGTTGATGCTCAAATGATGAGCCACACCGGCCCGGCTACCAAAGCTTTTATATCCACTCATCTACTAATGGACACTTGGACTGCTTTCAGATCTTGGCTATTGTAAATAATGCTTGCATAGGGGTCTTAAACTTTTTTTTTTTTTAACTGATCTTGATTTTTGAATGTATTACAGATGTCCCTCTGTTTTTTCCCTCCTTGACCTCCTCCTCTCCCCCCACCCCCCTGCCTTCCCCACACTATTGTCTGTGTCTATTGATTATGCATATATGTATATAAGTTCTTTCTTTTCTCTCTTCCTGCCCATCCCCCATTCCCTTTGAGGTTCATCAGTCTAACAAACAATTTGTACTTCTTAATCCTTTCACCTTTGTCATCCATCCCCCCAACCCTCCTCCCATCTGGCAACCAACAAAAAGTTCTCTGTATCTATGGGTCTGTTTCTGTTCTACTTGCTCATTTTGTTTGTAGATTCAATTGTTGATAGAGATGTGTTTATTGCCATTTTATTGTTCATATTGTTTTATCTTCTTCTCTAAGAAGACCCATCACATTTCATATAATACTGGTTTGGTGGTGATGAACTCCTTTAGCTTTTTCTTGTCTGGGAAAGTCTTTATATGGCCATTGATTCTAAATAATAGCTTTGCAGGATAGAGGACTCTTGGTTGTAGGTCCTTGCTTTTTATCTCTTTAAATATTTCTTGCCACTCCCTTCTGGCCTGAAAAAGTTTCTTTTGAGAAATCGGCTGACAGTCTTGTGGGAGCTCCATTGTAGGTAACTAACTGCTTTTCTCTTGCTGCTTTTAAGATTCTCTCTTTGTCTTTAACCTTTGCTATTTTGATGATGATGTGTCTTGGTGTGGACGTGTTTGGGTTCATCTTGTTTGGGACTGTCTGTGCTTCCTGAACTTGTATGTCTGTTTCCTTCTCCAAATCTTTTCAGAGAGATTTTCAATTTCTTGCTATCTCTCTTCTCCTTCTGGCACTCCTATGATGCAAATGTTGGTACACTTGAAGTTGGCCCACAGGCTCTTTACACTATCCTCATTTTTTTGTATACTTTTTTCTTTCTGCTGTTCTGATTGGGTGTTTTTTGCTTCTTTATATTTCAAATTAATGGTTTGCTTTTTGGCTTCACCTACTCTACTATTGATTCCCTGTAAAAATTTTTTTATTTCAGTTAGTGCATTTTTCATTTCTGACTGTTTTTTTTTTTTTTTAATATGCTCTTGAGGTCCTCACTAAGTTCCTTGAAATTCTCATTAAGTTCATTGAATGTCCTTATAAGCAGTGTTTTGAACTCTGCATCTATTAGATTGCTTTATTTAGTTCTTTTCCTGGAGTTTTGTTCTATATTTTTATTTGGGACATGTTTCCTTGTCTCCTCATTTTGGCTGCCTCCCTGTGTTTCTTTCTATGTATTATGTGGAGTTACTCTGTCTTCTTGGCTTCTGAGGGTGGCCTGTTATAGTAGGTGTCCTGTAGGGTCCAGTGGCACAGCCTCCCTGGTCACTCAGCTGGGCCCTTGAGGTGTACCCGTCATATGGACTTTATACCCTTCTGTTGTAATTGAGTCTTGATTGCTGTTGGCACATCGATGGGAGGGTTTACTCTGGCTGATCAGCTATAAGGACTGGCTGTGCCCACTGCTGGACTCTGACTATCTTGGATGATCAGCTGTGCAGGGGCCCACCACACAGAGCAAGACTCTGGTACGCACTGAGTCCATTTCTTATTTATTTATTTATTTATTTATGTATTTATGTATTTATGTATTTATGTATTTATGTATTTATTTATTTATTTATTGGTACGTGCCCCTAGCGGGAACTGAACCTGGGACTCTCTGGTCCACAGGCTGATGCTCCAACCACTGAGCCAAACTGGCCAGGGCTGAGTCCATTCCTTGAGTGTGTCACTTGTGAAGGTGGTTGGGTTTGTGCTTTGACGTGAACTGAAGCTGTCCACTAAGTGTCCTGGCTCTGGGGCAAGGTCAGCCACTGCCTGTGTTCTACCCAGGGCCACCAGGTATAAGTTACAACATGATCTGCAAGATGGTTGCTTCTAGTGCCAGGCCTGGGGCCACTTAGAAAGAGGTATGGGGCTCCCTGTGGCCAGATGCTGCTTGTTTGAGAGAATTTAGGAAAATCTGAAGCAGGAGCCAAAACAGGCCAATCCTACGGTAAAGCCACTGGAAAAAGCTTGGATGGGCCAAAAAGTTGGGTGGGGCAGGGCCTCAGGGCACCACCAGGGCGGGGCAAATAGTGTGAGCCAGGTTGTCGGAGTCCCAGATATGGTGCCTATCTTCTGGCCTCATTGGGGAAGGGCTCACCAGAGGAAGAACAGCCTCTGTCAGCATGTCTGTCCAGGAGAAAGCTGCCTCCCCAGCCCTCGCCCTAATGCCAAACAACTCAGTTCTTCCCCATTTGGCTCTGGTGCCTTTCAAGCCACCTCTCCTCCACTCTGGAGCTCAGAGGGAGTGAGTCTGAGAGGAGCTGCCTGGGGGGCCAGCAGCCTCAGCCTCCCTCGGGCTCAATTCCCACTGGTTTTTACAGCCAGAAATGATGGGGGATTTCTCTTCCTGGCACTGGAACCCTGAGTTGGAGGCTTGGTGTGGGACGGGGACCCTTCACTCCTCAGGGAGGACCTTCACAGACAAGATAGCCTCCTGATTTTTATCTACCTCGTGTGTGTGAGACCAGCCCATCCATGCCTCAGCCCTTTTTACAAGTCTTGATGTGGCTGCTTCTTTAATTTCGAAGTTGTAGAACTTCCATTCAGCTTAATTTCAGGTGGTTCTGAGGATGTTTGTTCTGTTGTAATTTTGATGTAGTTGTGGGAGGAGGCAAGACCGCATTTACCTGTGCTGCCATCTCGACTGGAAGTCCAGGGGTCTTAAACTTTCATAAAACTAAGTATTTACAGTGAAACATATTCTTGGTTTATTGATTAAAAAAGGCTTGAGCACTCATACAACTCCACAAAAGGAAGACAAAGAACCCAATTAAAAAATGGGCAGAGGAACTAAATAGACACCACTCCAAACAGGACATACAAATGGCTAAGAGACATATGAAGAAATGCTCATCATCACTAATCATCAGAGAGATGCAAATTAAAACAACAATGAGGTATCACCTCACACCTGTCAGAATGGCCACCATCAACAAATCATCAAACAACAAGTGTTGGCGAGGGTGTGGAGAAAAGGGGACTCTAGTACACTGCTGGTGGGAATGCAGACTGGTGCAGCCACTGTGGAAAACAGTATGGTGTTACCTCAAAAAATTAAAAATTGAACTTCCATTTGACCCAGTGATCCCACTTTTAGGAATATACCCTAAGAAGCCTGAAACACCAATCTGAAAGAATATATGTACCCCCATGTTTGTAGCAGCACTATTTACAATAGCTAAGATCTGGAAACAGCCCAAGTGTCCATCAGTAGACAAATGGATAAAAAAGCAGTGGTACATATACACAATGGAGTACTACGCAGCTGTAAGAAAGAAAGATCTCTTATCCTTTGAGACTACATGGAGGAACCTGGAAAGTATCATCCTAAGTGGAACAAGCCAAGCAGAGAAAGACAAGTATCATATGATCTCACTTATTTGTGGAATATAATGCACATAACAGTCTGAGGAATGGGGTAGTCCCAGAGACGTGGAAGTGGGGTACAGACTGACAATCCCCAGGAGAGGGGATGGTGGGGGAGAGATAAACCACAGAACTTATATGCATGTATGCATGAACAATGGACATGGACAACAAACTGGGGACCGGGCAGGGAGGGTGGGGAAGGGGGGAATCAGTGGGGGAAAATGGAGAAATAGCTGTAACAAAAATTAATTAATAAAAAAGAAAAAAAAAAGGCTTGAGCACTTTTAGTGTAGAGTTTGAATATGTAGTTGTGGTTTGAAAAGGACAAAAAAAGAAAAAAGAAAAAAAGAGAATTTTGAATAGTAACAGCATTTTGAGTGGTAACTCAGTTTTTGCTTTTGTATTTTTCCTTTAGTTCACACCGAAGTATGTTAGGATCCCATTTCAAGGTAAGTTATCATTGTCTTATGGCCTCTTTTCACTGTAATTTGGAGGATAAGATAATTGTTCAGCAAAAATTCTGATATCTTTTTGTAATAAGTTTTCAGTAATTTTTTTCTCAGTATAGAATTTAAGTAAAAACAAGGTTAAAAATGTTTTTCACCCAGGCTGGTTTGGCTCAGCGGTTGGAGTGTCAATCTGCAGACCGGATAGTCTAGGGTTCGGTTCCTGCTAAGGGCACGCACCTTGGTTACAGTTTGTTCCCAGCCCCAGTTGGGGTTGTGTGGGTGGCAACCAGTCGATGTGTCTCTCTCACATCGATGTTTCTCTCTCTTCCTCCTTCTCTCCTTTCTGCTCTATCTGAAGATAAATGCAAAAATGTCCTCGGGTGAGGTTTAAAAAAATGCTTTTCAACCTAACACTTTTTTTTTAAGCAGGTTCAAAATGAGTTAAAATGTTTTAAAATACTGGAAATGGTATACTATTCTTGTAATAACTTCAAGTCAAGTAATATTAAGGGACTCATGATAATTTCTTGGGTTTAACAGGAATAACGTTTTGATAGCAAGGCAAGTTTTGGTGTATAAAAGGGAACACATAGGAACTGTAAGGAAAGAAGCATAGCCCTGGCCGGTTTGGCTCAGTGGTTAGAGCGTTGGCCTGCGGTCCAGAGGAAAGAAGCATAAGGAAAAATTTTAATGTTGTAAACAAATAGGTAAAATAGTTTTGCATGGGGGTTAAGAGAGATTTAAAAAAATACCATTTTTTATCTGAATAATGCAAAACAGATTGTGAAATATACCTGCAAGTTGTAGAGACTCAGGCCATTGTCTCATTCTCTCTCCAACTGAAAATCATTCAGAATAAATAATGTCAAGAAAACAAATAATAAGCATATAGAGGATGACTTGTGAGAGCGGAGAATGAAAAGGAAAATATATATACAAGTAGCATTTCAGAAATGAACCAGGTAACAGAAAGCTTTTGTTTCAAGACTGAAAATATAATCAAAATAACTGATTGGACTCCCCAGATACCCACGTACAGAAACCACAATAATGTATGTGTTACAATAATGAATCTAATAAGTAGGAAGCTACTGTCAGTAGTAAGAATGTATAAGGCACAGAATAAATATATTGATAGTCCTAATTAGGAAATTTTGATAAGTTATTATGGAATAATATAACATTAGCTATTTAGCATAAACAAAGACCTATGATTTAAAGGGAAATAATTTCAGAAAAGGTAGTGATATAAAGACCAGTATAACAGAGCTGCCTATCAAATTTTTTAATTTTATTGAAGTATAATTGACATATTATATTTAATTTCAGGTATACAACATAATGATTTGATATTTGTATATACAGTTGACCCTTGAACAAGGTGGATTTGAACTACATGGGTCCACATATACATGGATTATTTTTTTCAGTAAAAATACAGTTGGTCCTACATATTTCTGGGTTTTGTATCTGTGGATTCAGCCAACTGTGGATCAAAAACAGTCTTAGATACTGGTGCCCCTAATCCTTGTGTTGTTCAAAGGTCAGTTGTATTGCAAAGTGATCCCCACAATAAGTCTAGTAAACATGCATTCCTATACTAACTTACAAAAAGTTATTTTTCCCTGTGATTGGAACTTTTAAGATATCCTTTTCTAGCAACTTTCAAATATGCAATACAGTATTATTAACTATAGTCACCATGTTGTACATTAAATCCCCGTGATTTATTTTATAGTTGGAGGTTTATAAACTTTTGATCCCCTTTACCCATTTCACCTACTCCATCTCCTGCCTCTGGGAACTACCAATCTTTTCTCAGTTTATGAGATTGGTGATTTTTGTTTTGTTTTGTTGTTTAGAATCTACATAATAAGTACTATTATATGGTATTTGTCTTTCTCTGTCTGACTTATTTTAGTTACCTTAATGTCTTCAGGATTCACCCTTGTTGTCACAGATGGCAAGATTTCATTCTCTTTTATGGCTAAATGGTATTCCTAAATGGTGTGTGTGTGTGTGTGTGTGTGTATCTTTATCCATTCATCTATTGATGGACACTTAGGTCATGTCCATATCTTGGCTATTGTAAAAAATGCTGCAGTGAACATGGGGGTGCACATATCTTTTTGAATTAGTATTTTTGGATAAATACCCAGAGTAGAATTGCTAGATCATGTGGTAGTTCTATTTTTAAGTTTTTGAGGAACCTTTATAATATTTTCCATAGTGGCTGCACCAATTTACGTTTCTATCATCAGTGCACATGGGCTCTCTTTTCTTTATATCCTCGCTAACATATACATCTTATCTTTTTGAAAATAGCCATTCTAACAGGTGTCAGGTGATATGTTATTGTGGTTTTGATTTGCATTTCCATGTAGTGATGTCAAGTACCTGTTCATGTACCTGTTAGCCATCTGTATGTCTTCTTTGAAAAAATATTTATTTATTTTCTCAGCCTACTTTTTAATCAAATTATTTATTTGTTTTTACTATTGAGTTGTATGAGTGCTTTATATATGTTGGACATTAGCTCCTTATTAGATACATGATTTGCAAATATCTTCTCTCATTTCATAGGTTTTCTTTTCATTTTGTTGTTGATTTCCTCTGCTGTTTAGAAGCTTTTTAGTTCGATGTAGTTTTACCTGTGTAGCAGAGCTATCTCTCAAATTCTTATGATACAAACCTCAAAAATTGTATTTTAGATTTTCATAGTTAATATTTCTACTTTGTCTCAAATGTTGCTTTTATAACTTTCTTATATGATTAAAAAATCTTTGAAAAGGTTTATTTTAATAAATACTGGGGAAGTTGGGAAAAAGTGAAACTGGGCCTCTATTTGCCATATGATTTTTAAAAGACTTAATTAAAAATGGTGGGAAAATACTCTGTCAGTGGGTATGGGTTTTTGATTTTATAATGGAAGAAGAAAATATTAATCTTCCTCCCCAAATCTGGTCTATGCTAAGTTCCTATATGCAACATTTTTTAAAAAGCAGGACATGTATATAATTTTTTTCTTGTAGATGGGGAAACTAGGGATCTAAATGTTTATTCTTTTTCTATAGCAGCTGAGGAAAAATTTAATTTATCCATATTTGTATTAGTTATTAATTATGTTTGGCTGTGGCTTAAAGAAAATAGTTTATTTTTTCTTCATATAGAAGAAATCCAGAAGTAGGCTGAAAAGTGTGTTTCTCTGGTTATCTGGGGCCCAGGCTTTTTTATTTTTCTACTCTGTCATCTCTGACACATGACTTTCATCCTCAAGTTCGTCTCATGGTCCATATGGCTGCTCATACTCCAGTCATCATGTTAGTCTTTCAGGCAGAGAGCAGGAGGAAGGAGAAAATGGTTAACAGAGCATATACCACGTATCTCTTGCCTTTTTATTTTTAATCTTCACTCGAGGACTTTTTTGCATTTATCTTCAGATAGAGTGGGAGGGAGAGAAGGAGGAAGAGAGAGAGAGAGAGAAACATTGATGTGAGAGAGACACATCAAGTGGTTGCCACCCACAAAACCCCAACTGGGCTGGGGACAAACTGCAACCGAGGTACGTGCCCTTAGCAGGAACTGAACCTGGGACTCTCTGGTCCGCAGGCTGACTCTGTAACCACTGAACCAAACTCCAGGGCTCTTGCCCTTTTAATGAGTCTTTTTAGATGTGCATGCCACTTAACCTACTTACATATTATTAGCTAGAACTTAGTCATATGACCGCACATCTATTTTTTTTTTTTTTATCCTCACCCAAGGACACTTCTCCATTTTTTGTTCAGATAGAGTGGGAGGGAGAGAGAGAGAGAACATCGACATGAAAGGGACACATTGAGTGGCTGCCACCCGCATGACCCAACCAGGGCCGGGGACAAACCACAACTAAGATACATGCCCTTAGCAGGAACTGAACCCAGGTCTCTCCGGACCGCAGGCTGACGCTCTAACCGCTGAACCAAACCGGCCAGGGCCACATAGCTATTTTTAAAGGAAGCAAGGAAATAGAGCTTTTGAAATCTTGGTATCTTGCTTCCTAAATAAAATTGAGGTCCTGTTACTAAGATCCCTATCAGTGTGTAGGAATAGTGATAGGCAATTCCCACTTTCAATGTCTGCCATAGCTTTATAACAGAATAAAACAAATATTAGGGGAAATTTTGGTAATGAGGTAAATATTTCTTGTGATGTTAAATTTATTTTTTTAAAATACTTTTTTTTTTTTTTTTGTACAGACAGAGTGGGTGGGAGAGAGAGGAAGAGAGAGAGAGAGAAACATCGATGTGAAAGGGACACATCGAGTGGCTGCCACCCGCACGACCAACCAGGGCTGGGGACAAACTGCAACCGAGGTACATGCCCTTAGCGGGAACCGAACCCCGGTCTCTCCGGACCGTAGGCGGGCGCTCTAACCACTGAGCCAAACCGGCCAGGGCTTAAAATACTTTTTAAATTGATTTTTAGAGGGCGAGGGAGAGAGAATAAAAGCAACATCACTGTGAGAGTGACACACCAATCATCCCAAAGATTGACTGCCTCCTGCATGCCCCCTACTGGGGATCGAGCCAGCAATCTGGTCATGTACCCTGACTGGAAATTGAACCAGCTCTGGTGCACGAGATGATGCCTAACCGAGTGAGCCACACCAGCCAGGGTAGTGTTAAATTTCTTTTTTAAGGGAAAATTTTAAATATGTTTTTTTTTAATTGAAATTTTTTAGAGTGGAAGGGGGGGAGAGAGAGAGAGAGAGAGACATCAGTGTGAGAAACATTGATCGGCTGCCTCCTGCACGTCCCCTACTGGGGATCCAGCCTGCAAGCCGAGCATGTGCCCTGATCAGGAATTGAACTGGGACCTCTCAGTGCATGGGGCAACACTCAATCCACTGAGCCACAATGGCCAGGCTTAAGGAAAACATTTTAAAGCAGTGTTTCTAAATAAAATTTAGCTTTCATACTAAAAACTTGGAACATTTGGATTAGGTATAATTGTCTAGA